TTTTTTTTTTTTTTTTTTTTTTTTTTTTTTTTTTTTTTTTTTTTTTTTTTTTTTGTTAGGTACTCCCTAAAATATGTGTTGCATAGATTGAAATTCTCCTTTCACATCACTGTCTCATGTAATGGTTCGCCTAGAATCTCTCTCTTGTCTTGACATTGATTGACATAACACTTCAAGACAAATTCTTTTCCCACATTCATAAAGAGGTAGACATTGGCATATTATTTATAAAGAGGTAGACATTCGCATACTATTTTGGTATCAGAGCCTCTTATCAAAGTGCAGATTCTGATTCTTCTCTAGCTTTTACAGGCTTTTCCAAGGATCCTTCAAATGCATTCAAATGAGATTGGGCTAGTGCAAATAAATGCAAAAAAGTAACTCGAAAGTAAGACTTAGTGCAACTATCCCATATTTTCTAAAATTCAGGGATCTATGTTGGTCTATCTAAACGAGAATACTAATAACAAAAAGAAGTTTCTCAAATGTCATTTTATATTGTTTTTTAAATAGAATTTTACTTAATTCTCAAATTCTCATTGTATGAATAAAATGTTTACAAATAATGTTAGTATGTTTCTTCAGCTTAGGACTCAAATTTATTTACGTATTGGTTTCTTGGTCATGAGTTCACCTCAAATTTTGAGCACAAGTTTCCATTCAATTTCATGAAAATCTTGCAACACTTCTTACTTCCCTTTCCCATTTTTTTTTTTTCACAACTAATACAAACTACAGCTGATTTCTAAACCACCAAACGGCTTACACAACAAAAGAAAGTACTGAAAATAGAAGAAACACTATCAGAGAATAAACGAACGATACGACATAGGCACAGTGGACTAACGACGCTAATCTACCGGTAATTTTGATAGCTAGGACTATACATACAGCCCTCAGCATATTTCACCAGATCTCTAGGTTGAGGGAGGCGAGTGGCCAAACCTACGAGACAGAATTTGAAATGGGAGAATGATTAGCAGATTCGAACTCTTTGAAAATTTTATGAAAGGAAAATGAGGTTGAAATCTCACCAAGTTCATAAGCTTTTGCAGCTACACTGGCAGCAATATGTGCTGAAATCTTCCTGATTTTGGCAAATGGAGGAAAGATGAGTCCTCTGTTGAAGTCGTCTTGGGTCACTTGTGAAGCCAAAGCTTCGGCTGATCGTAATGAACAAGTACATTAGTAACGATCGAAACCCGAGACTTAAACATAGCAATGGACTCTAGTTCATCTAAGCTTTGAAAGAATGTGCACTGTCTCTAATGTACTTTAATCTTAATAGGCTTTTGAGTACTTACAGGCTGCTAGAAGCAAGTCATCGTGAACGCGGATTGTGCCCGACATAATTAACCCCAAACCGAATCCAGGAAAGATATATGCATTGTTTGACTGAATTGTTAATAAATCACCACGGAATAATATTAACACCCAAATCATGCATGATATGATTTTAGCTTAGAATTGAATTGAAATGTGAGGACCTGGCCAGGTACAAACACTTTCCCCTTGTAATTAACTGGATCAAATGGGCTCCCACTTGCGAAAATGGCACTACCCTGAAAGCAACAACTCAACCATGTGATACAAGATGAATATTCATTGTGTTCTTGAGGGATGGGACTGAACCATTGTATTACCTGACTCCATTTATAAGCTTCTTCAGCAGTACATTCAGATTGGGAAGTAGGGTTGGAAAGTGAGAAAATGATAGGTTTCTGCAACAAGTTACCCAAATCATGAACAGATCGGTATACGCTCTTCAGAAAGTGAAAAGGATGGATTAAATACCTCGTTGATTGAGGCCATAGTCTCCACAACTTCTTTAGTGAATGCTCTTCCAACGCCCGATGTTCCAATCAAGACGGTCGGTTTGATTTCCTGACGTGAAACAGTAAGTAAAAGACATGATTCAAATATGAATATGCATTTGTAGAAGTACATTACAAGATTCGATACCTTAACGGCATCAATGAGTTCCTTGATAGGTTTGTGTTCATGAGCCCAAGGTTTCTTGAAATGTTGGAGAGTATCCTTCCTAGAAATTACAATCAGTCCCTGAGGAAAGAACAAAGAAATGAATCAGAAATTCAAAAAACTTCCTGAATGATGAACACCTTCACAAGCTTGATGAACAAGTTACCTTCGAATCCACGAGCCAGACTTTTTTGCGCGTCTCTTCCAACGGAGCATTGGTCTACACAAACGACTAGCTCTTGTTAATTAAAATGAAGATTGACTTAATGAATTCTGAACAAGGGCTATGAACCTGTTTTGATATCTCAAGGGCAATGAGCTCTGCAATTCCAGTACCAGCCTGAAACAACCAACGCAAACTTAAGAGGAGCTTTTATTAGATGTTAGACACGATTCAGTATGAACTTACTTCTCCAGCACCAAGGAATAAAAATCTATGGTCAGCTAAGGAGCCACCAACGAACTTCAGAGCTGTAATGAGCCCAGCAAGTACCACGGACGCTGTCCCCTGAGATTCAACGATGACAATTTCGGTACAGTTGATTGAAATTAGTCAAGAGTAAAATTAGAAGTCCAGGGTTTTAACCTGAATGTCATCATTAAAGACCAGATGAGTTGCGCCATATTTTGCAAGCAAATCGAATGCGTTATGGTTTGCAAAGTCTTCGAACTTTAAAACGTGGAAATTGAGTTAGAACAATATCAGAATGAGTAAAAAACGAATACGTATGCGTAGCTATAGCAACATACCTGAATTAGGAGCTTCTCCCCATAATGCTGTTTTACCGCAGTCATGAATTCATCGATAAGTTCAGCATATTCCTACATTGAGAACAATCATCCCCACTTCAGCTCGGAATTCGCTAAGTATGCCTTGTCACATTGAACTAGAAATGATACATTGGCGAGAGAGAAGGGATCACAAACCTGCCCCGTAGCTCTCTTTTGCCTGAGCCCGATGTAAAACTCATCATTCAACAACTCCTCATTGTTTGTACCAACATCAATGGTCACTGGCAAGCACTGAAAAACCCCAAAAAATGAACCAACAAGAATAAGAAATGAAGCATAAAGCGAGGATGTCGGTACTCACCACAGAAGGATGAACACCTCCAAGTGCAGTATATAAAGAGAGTTTCCCAACAGGTATGCCCATTCCCTGAAACATTACATGGATTTTGTTCTGTGTTAGGATCAGTTCATATCTCAATTTCAAGCTTCAGATGATGGAATTAACCTGACATCCAAGATCCCCTAGCCCCAAAATTCTCTCCCCATCAGTAACTACAATGACTTGAATGTTCCTCTCAGGCCAATTCCTCAAGACCTCAAGGATCTTCCCCCTGCAAAAGAAACTCAACCATTTCAACACAAAAAACCAAGAAAAAAAATGCATCGATGCAATGGATGAGCTATACTTTTCTCTCAAACTGATATAGAGGCCCTGTGGATGCCTGAAGATGCTTCCATATTTCTGGCAAGCTTCACCCACGGTTGGTGTATACACAACTGGGAGTAATTCTTCTACATGATCTATAAGCAGCCTGTAAAACATCTTTTCATTCCTCTCCTGAAAAAGGGTACAACAAAACAAGTTTCACTAATGTATTTCCAAGGAATGATGCATAAATTTTGTATTCAAGCATCATTTAGAAGTCCTAGTACTAAAAAATGAGATGAACAATGGGTACCTGAAGATCCATCATTGCCATGTACTTGAGCAATGGTACTTGATATCGACGGATATTGTGCAACATCTTCTTCACCTGGAAAGTTAATGACAAACTAGGAATGTAAAACTTATAATGGGGCTTAAGGGTATCACAAGGGAAGGCTAACCTGCACATTTTGAGCAAGAACAGTCGGGGGTAGAAGCCCGCGCAAGTAATGGGCGTCTCTTTCTTTCTCAGTAAACGCAAGCTCTTTGTTGTGGCGTGGATTTCGCAATAAATTATACCCACTAAGGTTTCAGCAAAAAGCAACACAAAGAAAGAAAATCAGCTGTGAAAAGGTTTGCAGAGCTCAACCAAGTCAGAGCAGGAACAGAGACGGTCTTCACCTGGCAACAGAGACGCTCCATGGTGTCATGATTTGTTCTTCCGTGGAGGCGGAGGCGGCAGGGGTGGATTTGGGTTCCACTTCAAACACCGGCGACGGAGCATTGGGAATTTCTTTCACACTGTTGTTGTCCACCACAACACTGCCACTTCGCTCGCCGGCTCGAACATGCAAGTCCATCGACACCACTTTCAGAGCCACCGGGCGCCGTCTTCCGGTGGCGGAGGGAGTGGAGCAAGGTGTAGAAACACCCATCTGGGTCGGACAAGAAAAAAAACAAGCAATATTGAAGAAATTAGAGAAAGACAAAGAAAATTGAAAGGAACCCAGATACAAAAACATAAACCGGAAGCTCGTAAAAGTAATGGATTGAAATAGGGAATACCAGGAAACTGGTTGTGGTCAAGGAGATCATGGTGAAGAGGTTTGTCCACCAAAATCTGTTCTCTCTTCCCCAGAATCTGTTTCTCTGCACCTGGTTTACTGTTTTTTAGTCTAAGCAGGAAGAGGAAGAAGAATAACGGTTCGGGAAATTGGGAAACTTATAGGAACCTTAAAACATGGGTGCATGTCTCTTT